AGCTGAACGGCTTGGTAAATACAGTATGAGCACCGCAACCATCAAGCAACCTTCAACGAGGGCATCCGATTGGCGGAAACCACAGTTTCGCAGTTTTAGTGGGTGAGAGTGGGTTCACGGGAGGGAGGTCATTTCATGGTCCGACCGCCCATTTACAGGGTTGTGTAAGTGTGGGAAGCCGGATCACATGTAAGATGACTACCTATACAGGATGCAGGGGAGGAAGAACGACAGAAAAGAGCAGGGAAATGCGAAAGAGTCGGCAATAGGCGGGTCCCATACTGATTCATGCAATCAATCACACTCGGTCAATTACCAATTTTCAACACGGATGCTAAGAAAAATACAAGAATGTTCGTCGATAGTGGGGCTAGTCACAACTCTTTGACCTAAGGAAACCAAAAACAAAGTACAACTACCCCTAGACAAGTGTCTGCTCGAGATCTACGCTCGTTCGGTGGACGGTACACCTCTGGCAATAAAGTAGACTATATGGGTTGTGCAGGTCCAATGAATACAAGAATGTTCGTCGATAGTGGGGCTAGTCACAACTCTTTGACCTAAGGAAACCAAAAACAAAGTACAGCTACCCCTAGACAAGTGTCTGCTCGAGATCTACGCTCGTTCGGTGGACGGTACACCTCTGGCAATAAAGTAGACTATATGGGTGGTGCAGGTCCAATGAATACAAGAATGTTCGTCGATAGTGGGGCTAGTCACAACTCTTTGACCTAAGGAAACCAAAAACAAAGTACAGCTACCCCTAGACAAGTGTCTGCCCGAGATCTACGCTCGTTCGGTGGACGGTACACCTCTGGCAATAAAGTAGACTATATGGGTGGTGCAGGTCCAATGCGAGGATGATTTTGGCTTCAACATAAGTCTACAATGACAGTGTTGGACAGCAGGGACTTTCTCCTAGGGCACGAATGGCTGCGACCTCCTCCTCCTCCTTGCTCCGCCTCCTCGCTCTCTCCTCCTCCTTATTCCATGCCTGCAATTCGAATTGCCAATGCTCCAGTTGCCGTCGCTGCACCTGCCGCCCCTCCACCTGCCCCTGTTTCACCTGCCGACGCTACACGTGCTACTGATGTCAATATCGTGCTGCTGATGTCAATCTGGCGTTGCGCCTGCCGGTTCTAGTTGTATACTGTAGTCGTGCGGCTGCTGAGGTGGCAGCCCCTCCGACAGGTCATCGAATAAAATTTCATACCGTTTCAATACGCCGCCAGGTCATCAGGTACGTCGGTGAGCAGTTATGTGAATCGTTTGCTGCTCTGCTGCGTCGAATTCCCGGATGTCGACCACGTGCACGTCTGCTCCTGCTGCTACTGCGTGTTTCATCGTGATGGCGTTGACTCAGAGCGATGCTATTACTATTGACTCGCATGCTGTAATCGCTCGTCGTCCAGACTTTTCGTGGATTGTGTCGTCGCAGCCAATCACAAAGGAGTAAAATATTGGTTCCGTCGAGGGTCGTGGCCAGCATTTCCTAGGTTACCCTTATAGCGAATCCGAACTTGGTACAGACATTCCCGTATGACTAGGGGGTGTTCCGTCGACCAGACTTGCGTGGACCTCATATAAGCATCTGTCCAATAGTAGTTTTAGTTCCCGTGCAGTGGCGGTATTGATTAAGCAATGGCGATATTCACAAATATCTCAATTAAGTCTGTGTGAATATTCTACCACTATACCCTCCTTGTTCAATCGAGTCTGGTCGAATGCAGAAATCTGCACCGTCACTCGTTGAGGGTCGCTTGGGTCGGGCGAGCGGCGTGTCTTGTTAGTAAAGGGCCCGTCTGCTATTGACTTCCAACATTTTTCTGATGCGTAATCTGTTTCTGCTGCTATTATCTTCAGGGCATTCGCTTTTGCGGTGCCCCGACCGATTGCACGCAAAGTAGCACCCTTTGAATGGTGCGGCGACGGCATTCGCAGCGACGGCGTGCTCTTTCGTTCCACGAGCCCGGACTCCCCAATTCCCGTAGGAACCCGTTCTTGGTCGGCAGAGGAAATATAGTTTATCCTCCATCACAAGTCTCCTCCATCACAAGTCCGTAACACCGCTGAGCATGATTTCTTGCGCGATTTTGTTTTTTTTTAACTGCCGTCGTAGCGATCAACGCGCCCAGCTTCACCTATGTATCCCACCTGCTTGCATAACGCCGAAACCCCGCTGGTCGAGTCCTGAATAGAACCGAGCTGGTGCCAAGTGTGCAGCTTCTGTCACGCGAAGATTGACACTGCGATTGGCTCGAACCTCCTGCACAGACCCGCGCACCATGTATCCCACGTGCAATACTGGGCGACCTTCACGAAATACGACGGCGCCCAGTGTTCAGTTGACCCCTTCCTTTGCTGTATGGTTTGTAGTCGCTCGGCTTCGTGACGATGATGCGTCACCAATCCATGGCGGGTCCTCGCGGCAACGACACGGTCGCCGGGTCCGACGAGATGTGATTGGCGTAAAAAAAACATTCATGGTGAAGAAACTGCCTAAACCATCCAAAATCCCCGTTGACTCGGGTTAATGCATGGCGGATGCTGCGCCTTGAGTGGCATCGATTGGAGTGCCTACCCATCGTTCTGCACCGTGATGTGGACGTGTCGCTAGTTATCCGCCGCATTCGTCGCTTCGGGGTTTGCCGTCCCGTGGTCATCGCGAACTTTGTTGCGCGCAGCGCCTTTACTAGCAGCACTTTTATGTTGTCCCACGCTCCCGTGTCGGAATGTTGTTGGTATTGTCGGTGCTGCTGTTACATGTGTCTGTGTCTGTGCTTGCGCTCGGTTTACGTTGCGTTGGCGTGACTCACGTTCTGCTATCAGCGTCGCGATTTCTTCGACGCTTTTGTGCAGTTGATGTGTCAGCTCGTTTAGGCGCGACGTAAAGTCGACAAGAAAAATGTGGTCGCCATTCCGAAGGGTGTCGGCCGGCTAGGTGGTAGGCGCTGTCGTGGCTGCACGTGCTTTCGAGAGAGTGCGGGGACAGCGGTGCGGAGAGTCACTACACAACGGGAGTGGGCTAGGAGGAGGCCACGGGGTTGTGCGAGTGATCGTAGCTTTGTGCTAGCGTTCTTACTTCTTGCTTGTGTTCACGGAGAAGTTTGGCAAGAATAAGAATAGAAAGTTGAAAGAACATTGTTGAAAAGAATAGTGTACAATTGAGGCATGCACAAAGATATGACAAGAATGGCATGCAACACCTAGCAAGGGCGAAATCTGCGAGCGCAGCAGAAGAGCGGCTTGCCAACGCTCCAGCAGAGTAGTCTGTCAGCGTTGCACTGCGCGCGGTCTGCCAGCACTGCAGTCGCAGGTGACTATCTGCTGTCGCAGGTTTTCTATCTGCGCAGATGTGCGTACCTACCAAGTAGGTGCAGGTTGACGGTTTCACCGTCAGGCACATTGCGCAAGTGCCAGGTAGAAAACGTGTCGTCGGTTTCGCCAGGTGCGCACCGTCGACCACGTGCTGCCGTTCCGCAGGTCGAACTTCGCCAAAACATCTAGGGCAAAGTTTCGCACACCTCCGCAAAGTTTCGCACACCTCTGCAAATTCGGTCGATCAGCTGGACACCGCTCGGTCGAACAGTGTTCGCAAAGCAGAGCTCCTCGACCAGAACTTTTCGACCAGACTTTTTTCGACCAGAGCTCGTCGCGCAGAGTTCGTCGAACGGAGCTCTTCGACCATCGCTCCTCGACGGGCTCTTCGACCATCGCTTCTCGACGGGCCTCATCAACCGCTGTCTTCGACTAGTGCTTCCCGTCGGCGATGTCGACCAAATTCCGTCGAGCAGAACCTGCTCGACCGCTACTTCCGTCGAACTGCAAAAGCCCACTTCGTCGACCAGTCCGTCGAAAACTTCCCGTCGGCGAGATTGGCTGCGCCCAAGCGAGGGCGGGGCCTTCTTCAACAAGCGGCTCCTAGTACGCAAAGGGGCGTCAGTTCTTTCGAGAGAAAATATTTTTTGCTGGTTACGGCAAAATTGTGCGGTCCGAAGGAAAATGACTCTGATAGCCAAGTGTTACGGGTGCAATATGACGAGCGAGGATCACACTAAGTTGGCAAACGAGTACAAATGTGAGCGAAAGGGTGAACAAACATTTTACGGTATAGCGAAACGAACAAAGTGGTAACGTGGTGCGTACGAGCCAGCTAGTGCGAAGCTGAAAGTGAGGTTCGGGCTAGCCATGAAGCGTAGGCCGATTCGGGCCAGCCCAGCAGTGCGAGGTTTGGCAAAAAATGTTGCGCAAATGCGGCGTAACGCAGTTACAGTAACTAGCGAAGAAACGGTTGGTATTGTATAAGGAATGTCGAAAGAATCCTTACCACTCGAATCCTTGCTCGTTTCGGAAATCCGCCCGAAAATCGAGTGAACTGTTCCCATTCTCGTGTCGCCTTGCAAACCTGACATGCATGCTGCAGGGCAGAGACGTGCTGTCTTTCCCCCGCAAATCCTCCCTCTTTTCTCCTCATGAGGGGTGGGATGGAATGGGAACGGGATACTCATCAGGACAAACATTTCTCTTTCACACATTCCTTCAAAACGAAGTCTAGGAGACGTTGCTCTTCTTAGTTGACGGCTCAATCAGTCTTCCTCATTCGTGAAAGCAGAACTTAGGGATTTACGTATGAAGTAAGGATGTCTCATTCGCGTCAACTAAGGATGGCAAAATCTCGTGAAGCGGGAAGTCGGGGGGAGCAGCTTTCCCCGTCAATGGCCAACAGGGCGCGAGCCACGTCGATCAACCATCTGCCAGACGAGCTTCTTTCCAGAATTATCTCGCTCGCGACGACTGCCGCCACCTCCGCAAAATCGACAGCAGAACTTGACGCCGCGAATGAAACCGGCAAGACTAGCGTGCCCAACTTCACGGATGCCCCCGATTTTAGCAACCTCGCTGTCGTTTGCAAGCGATGGATGCTCCTGATGACGATCCTCCGCGTCCGCGGCGGCTTTAAGTCAAAGCATTCCGAACTCCGCGGTCCCGAGCTGCGCGCCATGACGCTTTCCGCTCCCGCCATCTCCGCGCCGGCGCTTTTCCGCGCGCTGGCGCTCGCGCCGAGAGTCACGGCGCTTTCTCTGGAGGCGAACGCCGTCGATTTCTACGACGACGAGTTCCTGTCTCGCCTGCTCTCCGCGCGCCCCCAGCTCGCCCGCCTCAGCATCGCCCCTCCCCGCTTCACCGGAACCCCGCACTTTCGAATCGGCACGAAAGCTGTCGAGAATTTCTTCCGCCTCGCCTCGTCGCGCCTGCAAGAGCTCTCGCTGCGCGAATGCCTCGGCCACACGACGAAGCTCCTTGCTTCCGTCGCGTCGCTGTCGTCGCTGCGCGTGTTCCGCCTCCACTCCAAGGTTCTCCGCTCGCTGCCCGACGAGATGTGCCGGCTGTCTGCCCTGCAGGAACTTTATCTAAGCTGCCCGTTGCTGCAGCAGCTGCCCGAAAATTTTGGCCGGCTAAAGAGCCTGGAGCACCTTTCGTTTACAGACTGCACAGAAATGCGGCGCCTGCCAGACTCGCTCGGCGATCTCGCCTCGCTCACCTCTCTCCACATCGACGGCTCGTGGCAGGTCGATCGCTTCCCGCCTCGCGTCGGCGCGCTGCAGCAGATGCGGCGACTGGAGCTGCGAAACTTCACTGGCGCGTCGTTACCAGACGCATGCGAGAAATGGGCGAAACTCGAAAACGTAACTCTGGATTCGTGCGCCGACATGGGCGCTTTCCAGCTCGCGTCCGTACACTCCCTCACACATCTCACCATCAGTGCCTGCTATAGGCTCCAGTCGCTCACACCCAACCTGCCCTTCGCGTCGGCATTGCGCCATCTAACAATCGGCGTTAGTGTCTTTCCCGGCGTATCCCTCGAGTCGCTAAGCAATCTCGTATGTTTGGAGCGGCTCGAGGTGTCAAGCGTCGACCCGACGGAGCGCTTTCCCGAGGCGCTCTTCGCGCTGCCGTCGCTGGCGTACGTGAAAGCGGGGTACGTGTCGTGGGTGGAAGCAGACCACGTGGCGGCCTGGGAGGAGGCGAGGGAGCTCGCCGCGCTCTTCACGTACCCAGCACCGTATCATCCCACTGCCGCCGCCGCCGCCGCCGCCGCCGCCGCCGCCGCAGCAGCCGCAGCCACACCAGCCGCCACCGCAGCAGCAGCAGCAGCAGCAGCAGCAGCAGGTGGTGGAGAGACGGGCTCCGTTTCGCCGCTGGGCCCGTCTCTGAAGCATCTGAGCATGCGCTTCGGCAACCTGTTGTACGGCCGGAGTGGCGACAGGCTCTCCGCGCGCCTGTGCTCGCTGCTCTCCCTCACGCACCTCTCCATCGACTGCCTCTCCTCCTCCTCCCTCCTCCCCTCCGACCTCGGTCATCTCACCAACCTGCGCTCGCTCTCCCTCCGCGGCACCTGGCTCTGCCTGCCGAACTCGCTCTCCCGCCTCGCCCCGTGCCTGCAATCCCTGAAACTTAACTACAGCGGCGACAACTACGCGGATACCTTCCGCCGGGACCTCCCGTCCTGTCTCGCGCGTCTCACCTCCCTCACGCACCTCCACCTCTGCAACATGCACGTCCCATCCCCCCCGCCTGCCTTTGCGCGCCTGCGCGCCCTCCGCACGTTGCGCATAGAGTACGACAGCGGTGGCCCCACGCACGTGTCGCTTCCACAAAACCTCGGCCAGCTGGCAGCGTTGGAGTGGCTGGAGCTGAAGGACTGCTCCGTGGGAGCTGCGCTTCCGCAGTCATTCTGTGACCTCAGCGCCCTGCGGCGTCTCCACCTCAGTAGTGACTCCTTGAAGCGCTTTCCCAAGGAGATCTCTAAGCTGTCTCGCCTGGAAGAGCTCTCTCTTGGCTGGTGCATGAACCTGGAAACCCTGTCCCCTGGGTTTGGCCGCCTGGGATCACTGAAGAAGTTGAGCATTCGCAGTGGGCGGAATGACTATCTGCCTGACACCCTTAGCGGCTTATCATCCCTAGAGGAGCTCTCCTTGAGTGATTGCTCTCACAGTTTCCGCCTGCCTCCCTCCTTCTGCCTCCTCCCTCGCCTGCTCTCGCTTACTCTCACCAGCTGCAACGATCTCACCACCCTGCCGTCCAACTTCGGCTCGCTATGCTCCCTGCAGCGCCTCTCTGTCGACTCGTGCAAGAAGTTCCACCATCTGCCCGATTCCTTTTCCGCCCTTTCCTCCCTCACCTTTCTCACCATCTCCAAGTGCCCGGTATTTTCCTCCCTCCCTGAGACATTTGGGTTGCTGCCCCGCCTAACCCGCCTCCGAATTGTCGAATGCGACTCATTCACGCACCTTCCTGGCTCCTTCTCTTCCCTGCCTGCGCTCCGAGAGGCGTGCTTCAGCCTCTGCAAGCAGCTGCACTCCCTCCCGCCCACCCTTGGCAAGCTGCCGCGCTTAGAAGTGCTTCAGTTGAGGGAGTGTGAGGCGCTCAAGTCACTGCCGGGGTCGCTCAGGCAGGCGAGGGCGCTGAGGCATGTGGATGTGTATGGCAGTGGGGTGTCCGAGAAAGGGGTGGTGGAGGTGGGCTTTTGTGGGAAACAAGTGCATGTTGTGTGGGGGAGGATGGGAAAGGCGGAGCACGTGGGGACGAAGGACAAGGGGAGGAGGGGAGAGGATGTGCAGAGCTGAAATTGGAGTAAAGATAATGTTGGCTCCTATGGTGCTGGTTCTGTGAGCGCCCCTAATAATGTAAATATTTTTTTTCCTTTTCACCTTAGTACGGTACCTGTTGGACTATTACACGTCTCTGAGATGAAGCTTATAACTGAGCATAGTAAAGAGGAACGTACGGTATTGTCACTGCCCATCTCAAACAACTCACCTGACATGGAGCAACGAGGTCACCTCCTCGAGGTGTTGTCATTCCCCCCAAAATCCTCCTCGCTCAGCCATGAGGCGTTGCATGTTTCCAGCCAATCTCTTCAGCTCAGCTCGCCGAAGATCTACAGATTTCCATTTCCTAAGAACTTTTGTGTCAAGCTCGGCTCCAGCCACCTCGCTCGCGACTTGGTTTTCTTGTTTCAGGAGCACAAATCCAGGGCCTAGGAATGGTTTACTGGATTCGCATTCTCATACAACGGTCCGTATTGCCTCAGCCTTCTCGTTCTAACACATTTACCAATACCGTGGGAAACGTTGCAGTGGCGACAAATTTCTGTTTAGTTTCCGACTCATTCGTGGAAGTAGAACTCTAGGAATGTCAATTTTCTGAACGTCTGTACCTCGTGAAGCGGGAACGCCGGGTGAGCAGCTTTCCCCATCAATGGCCAACAGGGCGCGAGCCACGTCGATCAACCATCTGCCTGACGAGCTTCTTTCCAGAATTATCACACTTGCCACTGTCGCCAATTCTGCAGGACTGACAGCAGAAGTTGACGCTGAGGATGGTGCTGGCCGGACTGGCGAGCCGAACTTCACGGATGCCCCCGATTTAGCAACCTCGCGGTTGTTTGTAAGCGATGGATGCTGCTCATGACGACCCTGCGCGTCCGTGGCGACTTTAAGTCACAGTTTTCCGAACTCCGCGGTCCCGATCGGCGCGAGATGACGCTTTCCGCCCCCGCGGTCTCCGCGCCGGCGCTCTTCCGCGCGCTGGCGCTCGCGCCGAGCGTCACGGCGCTTTCTCTGGAGGCGAACGCCGTCGATTTCTACGACGACGAGTTCCTGTCTCGCCTGCTCTCCGCGCGCCCTCAGCTCGCCCGCCTCAGCATCGCCCCTCCCCGCTTCACCGGAGCGCCCCACTTTCGAATCGGCACGAAAGCTGTCGAGAATTTCTTCCGCCTCGCGTCATCGCGCCTGCAAGAGCTCTCGCTGCGCGAATGCTTCGGCCACACGACGAAGCTTCCTGCTTCAGTCGCGTCGCTGTCGTCGCTGCGCGTGTTCCGCCTGTGCTCCAAGGTTCTCCGCTCGCTGCCCGACGAAATGTGTCGGCTGTCTTCCTTGCAAGAACTTTACCTGAGCTGCCCGTTGCTGCAGCAGCTGCCCGAGAATTTCGGTCGGCTAACGAGGCTGGAGCACCTCTCGTTTACAGGCTGCAAGGAAATGCGGCGATTGCCTGACTCGCTCGGCGATCTCGCCTCGCTCACCTCTCTCCACGTCGACGGCTCGTGGCAGGTCGATCGCTTCCCGCCTCGCGTCGGCGCGCTGCAGCAGATGCGGCGACTGGAGCTGCGAAACTTCAACGGCGCGTTACCAGTGGAATGCGAAAACTGGGCGAACCTCGAGCAAGTCACTCTCTCTTCTTGCGGCGAAATGCGCACTTTCCACCTCGCATCAGTGCACGCGCTCACGCACCTCACCATCAGCTTCTGCGGGGAGCTCCCACCCATACTGCCCTTCGCGACAGCATTGCGCCAACTAAAGATCAACTATGTCAGCTCCAACGTATCCCTCGAGCCGCTAAGTCAGCTCATATCTCTGGAGCGGCTGGAGTTGGCAAGCTACAACCACGAGGAGCGCGTTCCCGAGGCGATCTTCACGCTGCCGTCGCTGGCGTACGTGAATATGCGCTACTTCGTGTGGGTGGAACCTCATGACGTGACGGCGGTGGAGAACACGACGGGGTACGTCGCACGGAATCATCCCGCTGCTGCCGCCGCAGACGCAGACGCAGACGCAGACGCAGACGCAGACTCAGACGCAGACGCAGCAGCATCAGCAGCCGCAGCAGGGCACCACTCGGCACTCGGCCCGTCGCTGAAGCATCTCACCATGTACTTGGGCAGCCTGGGGTACGGCAGGAGAAGCATCACGCTGTCCGCGCGTCTGTGCTCGCTGCTCTCCCTCACGCACCTCTCCATCGACAGACTCTCCTCGTCCCTCATACTCCCCTCGGATCTAGGCCATCTCACCAACCTGCGCTCTCTCTCCCTGTGTGGCACCTGACTCTTCCTTCCGCACTCCGTCTCCCGCCTCGCCCCGTGCCTGCGCTCGCTGAAGCTACACTACTACAGTGGCGGCAAGAGCTCGAATGCCTTTCAGCGCGCGTTCCCTTCCTTTCTCACGGACCTCACCTCTTTCACACACCTCCGCCTCCACAACATGCACCTTCCCTCCTCCCTGCCTGGCGTTGCGCGCCTACTCGCCCACCGCACGCTACACATAGAGTACGACTGGCACCACTGCAGCCACGTGTCGCTTCCAGAAGATCTGGGCCAGCTGGCAGCCTTGGAGTGGCTGGAGCTGAGAGGCTGCTCTTTGAGCGATGGGCTTCCGCGAACTCTCTGTGACCTGACCTCCCTGCGCCGCCTGTTCATTGGTAGCAAAGCCCTAAAGCAGGTGCCCACAGAGATTTGTCAGTTGTCGCGCCTGGAAGAGCTCACTCTTGACTTGTGCGACAGCCTGGAAGCCCTACCTCCGGGGTTTGGCTGCCTGAGATCACTGAAGAAGCTGCATATTCGTGGTGGGTTGAGATATCCTCTGCCTGACACTCTGGGAGGCTTATCCTCGCTTGAGGAGGTCTCTTTTGGCTCGCTGTTCTCACGGTTTCAGCCTGCCTCCCTCCTTCTGCCTCCTCCCTCGTCTGCACACGCTTACTCTTACCCACTGCGATGATCTCACTGCCTTGCCTTTTACCTTCGGCTCGCTATGCTCCCTGCAGCGCCTCTCTGCCGATTCGTGCAAAAAGTTTCACCATCTGCCCGACTCGTTCTCCGCCCTGCTCTCCCTCACCATTCTCAGCATCTTCAAATGCCCAGATTTCGCCTCCCTTTCCGAGAACTTTGGTTTGCTGCCCCGCCTAACCAGCCTCAAAATTGTCGAATGCGACTCATTCACGCACCTTCCCGGGTCCTTCTCCTCCCTGTCCACGCTCCGAGTGGCCTGCTTCAGCCATTGCAAGCAGCTGCACTCCCTCCCTTCCACCCTCAGCCTGCTGCCACGCTTGGAAGTGCTTCAACTGAGGTAGTGTGAGGCGGTTAAATATTTACCGGAATCGCTCAGAGAGGCGAGGGCGCTGAGGCACGTGGATGTGTATGGCAGTGGGGTGGCGGAGAAAGCGGTGGCGGAGGTTGGCTTTTGTGGGAAACAAGTGCATGTTGTGTGGGGGAGGATGGGAAAGGCTGAGCACGTAACCTAATGAGGTGCCCTTAGCTGAACCTGTAGAGGACATACAGAGAAATTGAGCTACGGTTTATATATCTGTTAACAATGACAGTACAATAAATACAGCAAAAACCAACCACCCCACCCTCCTCCCCAGTTGCCATCATTCCAGCAGCGTCACTCGCGTCCTATTGTCACTGCCCCTCTCAAACAATAAATAGTCCACAACTGCCTCATGCCCCACTCCCCCACAGCCACCCCCACCACCAGCAGCAGCAGCAGCACTGCACACCCCGCCTCCCCACGTCACAGTCAGCAGCTCCGGGCCCTCCTTCCCACCCGCACCTCCTCTCCCCCTGTGCCACCCTGTCACCGGCAGCTCCTCCCCTTCCAGGAACGGCAGCAGCATGATCTTAAACCTCGGCTCCACCACAGCCTTCCTCTCTACCTCCACACGCCAGTACTCCCCACCCGTCGCCACACCGGCATAGTACGGCCCCTTGCCACTGCCCGGGCCCTGGGGCGACTTGCTGGATTCCACCTTCACGAGCCGGATGGGTGCAGAGCGGTGCCCGTCGCCCTGCAGCACGCGCAGCAGCATGCGTGGCGTGCCTGGGAGCGCGTGGCGGGTCTTGGGATGCACGTCGTCCCCCCGGATGAAGATGGCGTCTGTGGTTGGGTCCAGAGACGCATACCGCCTCGCTTCTTCCGGAGAGATAATCACATCGTCGCTTGCAGCTGCTGCTGCTGCAGCACCCGGCTTCTGCTGCTGCTTCTGAGGGCCAGTGAGCAGGAAGAGGCGCTGGCCGTACCCCACCATGGCCATGTACGGCTGGGTGGTATTGGCTACCCACGTGTACGTGTGCACCCTCTCGTCCTTGCGAATATCATCCACTATGATCACATACGGCCGCGACTTTGGTGCCTGAGCGGGGTTCACAGGGCAAGTCTTGGCGTCCTTCCCTGGGACTGGTGCTGCGCACGTACCTCCTGCACCTGCACTGCCGCCGCCGCCACCGGTGCCGCCGCTGGCGCTGACTTTGGCGCGGATGAGAGCGGCGGTGCGGAAGGCGTAGCGCACGGGGTTGAACTCCTGGCGCGCACAGATGTGCCACGACGCCCATGCATTATCGTCCACCCACTCCGGCTCCACCTCTGGGTCTCCTGCCCCCGGCACTGCCCCCGCACTCCCAGCAGCAGCAGCAGGGGTGCCCTTCTTGATGATCTTGGGCACGAGCGAGGGGCCAAAGTCCACGGGTTCGTAATAGAAGTCCTTCCATGCGTACGGGGTTTCAATGTTGTTGTCGTCCTGTGGCCTCGCTGCCGGGCGGGGTACCTGCAGGGATGGTGTGGCGTGGAGGAGAACAGCGGAGAGGGGAGAGGTGAGGAGGAGTGAGTGACAACCTACAGAAGTCCACGGGTTCATAGTAAAAGTCCTTCCCTGCGTACGGGGTTTCAATGTTGTCGTCCTGTGGCCTCGCTGTCCGGGTGGGGTACCTGGAGGGATGGTGTGGCAGAAAGGGAAGGAGAAGGGGGAAGAGACAGGGGGGTGGGGGAGTGAGTGGCGGAGTGCTTACTAGAGGCCGTGTGGGGCACATGTGGGGAATGGTGTGGTGAGTGAACGAGAAGGGAGGGACGGTGGGAGGCAAGCCAAGCACCCACAGGAAAGGCCAAACAAGCAGCATGCACTTGCGACCGAGGGGAAAAGTGTTGTCTGAACCCGGAATCGAACCAAAGACCTCCAGTGTGTGAGACTGGTGTGATAACCGACTACACAAGCCAGACTTGCAAAACAAGATCACAAAAAACAAACAATCATGGCTTCCCAACGCCCACCACTCGCACACCCACCTTCCCCTTCCCCCCACCCCCTCAACCGCCTGCCCGTTCACCCGCTCTACCACCCCCCCGCCCACGCACGCACCCCAACTCACCCACCCACCCACTTTCCCCACGCCCGTCGCTCACCTGCCATCCATGGGTGACAAACCGGTACGCAGCACTGGCATCCCCAGCAAACCAGCTCAGCCGCTCCTCATGCCACGTACCCACCACCTTCCCCGGCATACAACTCCACGTGAGCGGAAACCCCTTGGCCTCCGCCTCCAGCGTGTGAGTCCCGCCCTGCCCCAGCCCGTCAATCAGCACAGACGAGCACGCCTCGCTCTCCACGTTGTGGTAGAGCGCAGGGCAGATCCATGCGCGGGAGCAGCCGAGCAGGTAGAAGTCGTTGCGCGATGCGTGGCAGTGGTCCAGGAAGTAGGTGTCGGGGCGACACTCGAAGAAGAGGAATAGGCCCTGTTCGTCCGTGCTCACTTGGGAGGCGGACCACGGTGGGGTGACCGGGAAGGTGGGAGACGGGAGGGGGATGCTTGGAAAAGGGATGACAGGGGGTGTGGAGGCTGGGGGAGGAGGGGTGGGTTTTTCGCCTGGCTGGGCGGCTGCTGTTGCTGCGGCTAACTCCGCCTCCCACTCTTTGTCAGAAATTGCACCAGCAGCAGCAGCGGCAGCAGCAGGAGTAGTAGCAGCAGTGGTGCTGCCATCGCCCCACCCCGACCGCGCGGTACCAGTGCCCAGCCGGTTCGCAAACAGCACGAGCGGAAGGCCAACCACTGACGCCACCTGCAAATAGGAAATATTCTTCTTGGTCACATCCATGCCCAGCAGGCACGTCTGGAACGGCATCTTGTTCACACCAAACCCCCCAATCTGCTTCGTCCTCGGCTGCGTGTTGTACTTCTGGTACACGAAATCCGTGAGCGGGTCTCCCGGAAAGAGGTACTTGGCGAGCAGGTAGTACTCGCTCTGGGAGAACCCCCCGCAGAAGCACGTGCCGTCCTGCGCACCGAAGCAGGGCGGGGCCAGGGACCAGGGCGCGAGGGTCTGGAAGACGTCCATGAGCAGCTGGTAGGTGTTGGTGGGGTCGGCGAACACGTCGTGGCCTCGCCGCATGACTGCCAGCATGGGGAACGCCGCCTGCCGCATGGGCGTCATGAAGTACCCGGGGAACTCGCGCGTCACGCCTGGGGAAAAGGGGGGAGGGGGAGGGGAGGGAGGAGAGGAGGGAAGTACGGGGGAAGGGGAGGTGGGGGGAATACGGGGAGGGGGAATATGGGGAGGTGAGCTAGTGGAGGTTGTGGGCGGCTATGAGTTTCCTTGTGGAAAGAAAAGGACGTGTGAGAGAGAAACTCGTGATCAACGTCTGTCAGCTGTTGAAGCCGATGTTGAAGAATGGACTCCGGGTGCATGTGAGTCGAGAAGAACCCGGACGGTACAAACAGTACATGCAGAGAATGTGTCTGGAGGAACGGCAGGGAGCGGCAGCAGCTACCAGTGGGATCACAGGCGCCAGCATAGGTCATGTAGTAAAACAGCGACTTGACATTCAAATCCACCGCCACCGCATCGTACCGCGCCTTCTCCCTCCACCCCTTCACATCCCCACTCACCCCCGCACCGACCCCACCCACCACCACCACCCCCTTCCTCCTCATCTCCTCCTCCTCCCTGTCCGCCTCGTCCCACGGCTCCTCCCAGTCCTCCTCCTCCTCGCCCTCCACCGCATACTGCACCAGCAGCACCAGCGCCGTCGCCAGCTGGAAGGTTGTTCCGGTGTAGAAGGGGTTGAGAGCGGCGCCCTTGCCCATGCGGTACGGGTCCGCGTTGAACGCGGACGCCACGCGGTTGCGCCCCATGCGCAGGAGCAGGCGGCGCGCGGGGGCGAGCTGCGCGCGGGAGCCGGTGGCGCGGAGGGAGGGCGTGAAGAGCAGGTCGTAGGCGAGGGCGAGCGCGGTTGACGCGGAGCTGTCGCTGCGCGGCCCCGTGTTGTACCTGGAATTGGGGAGAGAGGGTTGGGCGGAAGGGGAGGGATGCGGGGTGAATTTCGTATTGACTCAGACGTGTGGTGCGAGGGGGGAAGAGAAGGGGGAAAGGGGGGGAGAGGGAGGGGAAGGGGCTGAGGTGGTTTGGTGGGGGAAAGCACGCAGCAGTTGGAATTGCGGCATTAAAAATGCCAAGGGCGTGTGCGTGTGGCAAGCCAAGCACAGCAACTGAGCACAAACGCAGTGAATATGCATGGTGGTGACACGAACCTACGAATTCCCTCTCCCCCCACCTCTCTCCCGATCCCCTCGCAGCTCCCCCCCCTCCCCCCTCCCCCCCCACTTACTTGCAGAAGCCCCCTTCGCCCTTGACGAGCACGAGCGACCCGCGCGCGTGGAACAGCAGGTGCACGCCGGCCGCCACGCCCAGCACGCCCGCCAGATACTCCAGGCGCTTCTGATCGCCGCGCACCCACGCCACGTACGCCGCGTTCTGCAGCGCTTCGTACACGGGAGGGTAAAAACTAGGAACGCCCGCGTCTTGCGAGCCGAACAGCAGCTTTACCCCGAGAGACGGCGTCGCGTCCGTGGCGGGCGGCGGCGGCACGATCCCGGAGCTCTTCAGCACGTAATTCTTCGTTGCGGGAGCCACTCCCATGTCGAACATCCGCGTGTAAAACGCCCCGTTGA